TCCCATGTGCCAGTTCCTGTAATCATTAATCATATGCTGGTGCCATATCCCACAGTCAGCCTGTGCTGTGTCTACTTAAAAATCAATGCTCTATATTTAGTTGGATAATTCATTAGTATTACCCTCATTAAAGCAATTAGTTCCAACCATCAATCCTGTGTGTATCACAGGTCCAGTCACTCGACTGGCAAGTGTCAGTCTTTCCTTGACACAGCCAGTGAGGATTTCCAGCACCTCCTGATGGCCTCCCCTGCACTGAGGGGCAACACTGTGCTCACATGGATGTGGAATTCCACATGCCACAGTGAGACTTCAACCACTATGGAAAGCAACCTCCCACTTTAACAAGGAAGAGGCTGAGGTGCACTTGTGTTTGGCAGGTTCTATAAATTAAGCTTTCAAATGAACTCAGAGTAGCTTAACTATCCCCACAGGGTCTCCATCTAACCAGAGCACTGCTGTGAGCACCCAGCTGCAGGGGGCTGGCTCCAAAGGCACAGGCAGGTGGGCAGCAAAGAGCAGTGATGGCAAAAACAAAAGTAGAGCTGCAAAGCTGTTAGTCATGAGCAACAGGCAGGTGAGTTTGCCCACTGCTGCCTCCATGGCCCAGGAACTCCTCAGGGAGCCAATAAAATGCCAGGCACACAGGGCAAGGCACCCAACCCAAACCCCAGAGCCAGATGCTTCTGCAGACACCTTCTTGCAACTCGGTGTGAACTGACTGTAAGGAAGGAAGCAGATACGGGGGGAAGAGCTCAAGGGCTCACAGAGCAGAGCCCCCAGCCCCTCAGAGGTGAGCACAGCCACTGGCACACGGGTGACAGGCAGCAGGGACCCCGTGGCCCCCCGTTACCTTCCTCCGCCTGTCCTCCTCCGCGTACTTCTCCGCGTTCTTCACCATGTTCTCAATCTCATCCTTGCTGAGCCCGCCCGAGGACTGGATCACAACTGCAGCACAGAGGAACATCAATGAACAACGTGCTCTCACCTTGAGGAGAGGATTATCTCCCAAACCTAACAGCAGCCTCGCTCAGGGACGCTGCACCTGTGAAGGTCTTGTGGGCAGCACAAAGCCAGCCAGTGTTTGCAGAGGCAGAGATGCTGCTGGCAAGGTAAAAACCTGATCTCTCAGATCTACAAACTCCACAACCTGCCCACTGGTCTGGTCTGCAAGTCACTTCGGCTGGTCTTCAGTTACTGCTCCTGGAAAGTGAGGGAGCACCAAAGCCCCCAAAGCAAAGGGGCATCCCAGGTTAAAACACGGAACTTAAAAAAAACCAACCTCCCACCAAAAACCCAACTAACAAAAAAATCCAAGGAGAAGGAATTGTTTTGTAAAGATTCCTATCCCTGTTGGAAAGCAGCCCAGGCTGGTGGCAGGATAAGACAAGTTCTCCACCCAGCTCCTTACACTGCCCTTAATAAGGGAATGTAGCAAGATTCTATGAGCAGGCTCTTAAAGGTCCCTTTTTTTCCCCTTCCATTAGTGTCAAAAAATATAGTCTAGACTTAACTAATTTCTGCAGTAATGCCTAATTTCATTGTGAAAGGGAAGACCAATATCCAGGACATCCAGGTATATTAAAATCCTCAAATGAAGTAAGTTTTCTATGTAAAATCTGCCAATGGTGCAAAACCCTGAACAAGGACACACATACACAAGTCCTCTGGATACAGATGTGGGATGAGCAATTCAGCTTTGTAATTAGGACCACATCTGCACACAGGTAGGCAGCTAAAAAACGTTCTAGTTGCCTATTATCAGAAGCCTTTTACTTAGCAGCAAAAGGCTGCCACACCCCCAAAATCTACAAGGAAATCGAAGTAAGAAGCAGTGTGGTTTTAGTAAGATGTTGCTGCCGAGAAGCCAAGAGTGTGATTAAGAGCAGCACATACCTCTGAGTTGTGCATACGGGGTTAATACTTTCCTTAGCTGAGTGTGCATTCCACTGCTCAAGGGTTGTTTCCAAGAAACAACTGAAGGGCAGTACAGAGGCTTCCCAGTTAGAGGAACAAGAGAGATCTATTTTCTACCAGGGGAATCCGTAAATGCTTCAAATTAATTTTCTGAGCCCACAACAGAGCTTTAGAAACTGTCAACTGTGGCATTAATTACCCTGGAACACCAGGCCTGACATTTCATTGCACCACAGAGCAAAACACACTGACAGCTTGAAGTCCCTGAGCCTCCTGCCAGTTCAAGACTTCCAGCCTAAGTGGATGAAAATGAACAAGGTGGTTACAGGGAATACCTGCTGCTCAAAAATACTTGACTCTCCAGACGTTTGTAATGGAGTAATGACAAACAAATACGGTCTTGGCAAGAGCTGAGTTGTTCAGCTATACACTACACACCTTGGACTCAGAGATCTTCCTAATTTGATTTCTCCCTTCAAGCAGACAGGCTCAGGGACAGCAATCCCTGTGATAGCAGAGGGCACTCCCAAAGGAACAGTGTGCCCAGCAGCACAGCTCAAGAACAACTAGTGCTGCATTGCCAAGCAAGGATTTTCTGTCCCTTCAGGGTAACTCAGGGCAGGATGTCACTGCTCTGAGCATCTCAGTGACACAGGACACCCTGGGAAGCAGCAGGAGCAGGGCCCACAAACACCTGTGAGCCCTCAGTTAGCCAACCTGTGCCCAAAACCTCTGGGCACTGAGGCATGGCTGACCTGTGCAGGAAACCCAACAAACAGCTGCACTCTGCCGAAACGTTGGTGTAGCGATCCCAGGAGATGGCAGGGCTGAGCAAGGACTGTCACACAGGGCAAAAGGACTCATGGGAAAACCCTGCCAGTGAGGACTGCCTTGACCTTGGCATGGTCAGGGGCTTCATCTCCGCCTAACGTGCAAGGAGAGCTTCCCTGGCAGGATCTGTCAGCAGGCTGCTGGAGAGGGCAGTGCTGTGTGCACACAGGAGCTTTACCACCTTAGAATGGATCTACAGGTGACTTCTGTCACTTCTCCCCTTCCCCAACTCACTCTGCCCTCCTTTCCAGGGGAGGCACTCAGCCGAAGATGACTTCAACTGCATCTGTGCTGCACTGACAACAGACTGCTTGGGTCATCCTTGCTCTTCATCAAACCAGTGCTGCAGTCCCCACCTGACTGTGGGGTGCCCACCAAGGCAGCATTCCATGACCTCTGGAGTCACCTGGTGTTCCCCTCAGTGCCCAGTGTGCCATGGCACCGCCATGATTCCCCCAGGCCTTTCCTCCCCATCCCTGGCATCCCAGAGCACTCACTCTGCTGTTCACGCCCGGTGCCTTTATCCTTGGCCGACACGTGCACGATGCCGTTGGCGTCGATGTCGAAGGTGACCTCGATCTGGGGCACTCCCCGTGGTGCAGGGGGAATCCCAACCTGGGAAGAGCAAGGGTTGGCCATCAGCTCCCACAGGGACACGAGCTCAGGGCATGAGGCTCCAGGGCTGGGCACGTTACCCTGGTCATCTGACAATGAATCAGCTATTAACCAACCCTCAGAGCTGAGTCCTCTGAGCACCTGTTGGCATCATGTGGTGCATCAGTATCTGGACAGATTTAACAGGATACAGGTTTCTACCCAGGACAGCTGCACAGAAACCATAAGTTTGGTTTCAAAGTGATACAGGTTCTGCTTTACTGCTAAACAAGCCCCTCTTCCATGGGCATGGTAGATGCTCTGTTTCCTCAGTTCTGGACACAGACTTCACGCACCACTTCTGAGGAACCATTTTAAGACAGTGACAGGCAGCACAGCTTCCTTCTAAAGTACAAAAGGCAAAGCCCTTCCTTTCTGCAGGGCTCTTCCAGCACTGACCAAACCCATTCTGGGCAGGGAGTTCATCAGGCAGCCCCACACTGCACACCAATCCCTGGAGCACATCTGTTCTCCAGTCAGCAGTGGAGACCTTCACAAGGTCTCCACACAATTGTTCAGAATGATGTGTTGACAGTTGACATCATGGCACACACACCGCAATCCCAACCAGGCCACAAACCTCCCAGGGTACCCTGGCTCACAGGGACTGCAGGTATCCTGGAGCCTGCTCCAAGTCCTGTCTCTGCAACACCAGAGGAAAGGCCAGCCTTCAGCTTATCTATTGCACAGGCTTGGGACTGCAGAGGTCTTTTGTGCCCAGAGAGCCCTTTTAGGTCAGCAGGCCCTAAAGCTGCAGCAGCCCCTGTGCCACATAAGGCTGCTCAAGAGACTCTCACCTCCATCTTAAATGCTAGTTGCTCCCCTGCCACAGAAAGGCTGTCCCAGAGCTGGGCTGTACCTCTGGAAGCTGCTTTTTTACTACAAATGGGGTCAAATGTCTTCTGTAAGTGACTCCCCCTCAACACTGCCTTGAGGGGTCAACTGAAATGGAGAAGGCTCTGAGTGTCTCAAAGAAGGTCGAGTCTAAGGTCATGACCAGAGTAGCCCACATACCAGTGTGAACTGGCCAAGGAGTTTGTTGTCACTCGCCATCTCTCTCTCTCCCTGGCACACTTTGATCTCCACTTGTGTTTGCCCATCAGCAGCTGTAGAAAACACCTATGGAAAAGGAATAGTGTGTTACTGTACAGCTAATAAATTGGAACACACGAACTGATGCAGTTACAAACTGACTGAAGGAATAAAAGGAAGCTACTTGGAACAGAAAGAATCACTAAATGTTCATTGTTCTCCTGTTCCTCTGACAAAATTTCAAGGCATCAAGACTAGCAACAGCCAAGCTCACTGGCATCTTGTCCTATGTGCACTTGGAGGCACAAAAACAGGCCATGCTGTGTCAGCAGCAGGTTCCATGGCAGCCACCCCCCCAAGAACATCTCCCCCTGAAGCAGCCGGGCTCTGCCCCAAGCCCACGCCCCAGGCAGCTCCGGGGTTATCAGTGAGCACACAGCAGCAGGCCCAGACAAGGCCAAGGAAGGAAAGGATCACACCCAAGTCTGTCAGAGCCTTAAAACATAGGAAAGAAGATAACTCCTCCTGAGGCATGCAGCCCAAGAAAGGCAGTGTTCAGCGGGTGTGGTGCTCAGTTGCAGAAAGTCTCCACACAATTCTTCTTCGGAATGATGTGTTGACAGTTGACATCATGGCACACACACTGCAACAACCCTGAGCTATCATCCTGGGCTATCTTGGCACCCTTTAATTCAACTCTCCTCCACTCCTGGGCACACTAATAATCAACAGAGATACTCACTGACTGACATTCAACCTCATTCCTACAACTGCTTCTCCTTGCCAGATGAGGAGGAGACAAGACCATCTACTGGGATGCTTTGGGAAGCCTTCACTGGGTGTCCAAGAGCACCCTGAAAGTCCCCCCATTCAGAGTCAATTCGTACCTGGCTCTTCTTGGTTGGGATGGTGGTGTTCCTGTTGATGAGCTTTGTGAAGACACCTCCCAGTGTCTCAATGCCCAAGGAGAGGGGGGTTACATCCAGCAGCAGCACGTCAGTGACGTCCCCAGCCAACACCCCACCCTGGATGGCTGCACCGATGGCCACGGCCTCGTCAGGATTCACGGCTTTGCTGGGAGCACGGCCAAACAACTCCTGCACAGTCTGCTGCACCTGCATGGAGACAGCACAGCTGTACTGGAGGAACCACCACTGCCACAGAACGTGCCAGCCTGGGCTCAGCCTGGCATCCCTGGGCTCCTGCTGCCACACGAGCCTGTGGCACGACAGAGACACTGAGCTTCAGGTCTGTGCCCCATCTTCCATGCACCCTATGAAATGCACTCGTTTCAGTCTAGACAACCCCTCCTCTGGAGGCTTTTGTGCCATCAAGTTTGCAGCTGCAAGTCAACTCACAGCAGTGCTTTTATGTAGCCCAGCCATATTCAGAAGGGATCACTCCATGCTCCCTGGGAACTCCATGCTCCCTGGGAACTCGCACAAGCCAACGCTGAGCAGAACACAGCTGTCAAGGACAGCACAGCTGTGGAGGCACAGACAGGGAAGGTAAAACAAATCCAGAAGCACAGTTCGTGTTGTTTGTGTGCAATAAAGGAGAAAAAAAAGGGAATTGTGTAAAGAACAGAAATTTCCAACTCTTTATTGAACAGGTTGTTTCAGCAGAGCAGATGTGCCGTGTCAGCAGCCTGAGAGGCGTTGTTAGCACTGCACTGCTCGGCCCCTTTGGAAGGACTGTGCCCATGATTCCAATAAACTTACTGCTGAGGCATCCACATGGGAATGCAGCAAGGGTCTGCACCAGAGCACAGCCCAGAACTCCCCTGCTCTGCCCCACAGGGGAAGGGTGTGGGACTTGTGCTCCTCTCCGAGTACAGCTGTTGGGCACACACCAGCACAGGGGAGCACAACATGCCTGGAAAACTGCTGGGAGCAAACATCCAACTGCACTGCAGCCAGGAGACACCTGCCCAGAGTGTTCATTACAGAGGAACACTCTTTATGTGTGAGCATATAATTAAGTGCAAGTCTTTCCCTCTGGAGGCATATTTTACAGAAACATTACTTCTAACCACCCACGGTACTTCTCCTCGAGTACTGGCCATGGAAGCGCTCCAAAGGAGCCACATTCCCTCCTAGCAGGGTGAAGAGAACAACATACAGAAGAGAAGGTTCTGGGCTGTGTACAACACATCAGCACTGATTTCAGAACCAGAGCTGTAACTACAGGCACTCAGGAAAGCATTCTTTAAGCATAAGGCCACAGATGCTGCGGGTTATAAAGGAGGGGGGAAGGAAAAAATAAATACAAAAAAGTAAAAATCAATATTTAAGTCCCGTCTTCCACCCCTAAAGGATACATAATGTTTCAGAAGAGGCTTTCCCACTGAGTGTTTGTCATCGCTTTATATGTAAGTAATCACACCATTTTTCCTTTATCCAGCTGGAACAACAAGGATTTTGGGAACATATAGCAGAGTTACTCCACTTAAGTTTTGGTCAGATCAGGAGCTTCTGTTTATCTCGTTGCTCTGGGTGACCTTCTGCTCACGCAAATATCACCTCCAGCCATCAGGGTCATTTAATACAGGGAGAAAAAACCCTCTCACCAAACTCCAAATGAACCCCAAGCAGGACCATGTACACACATACTGCCCTAGAGAGGACCTGCAAATCACAAATCTTAACAGCAAACAAACAGTCCAAGCCTGACTGATTCCTCTGGAATGAGATTCTGATGCTCTGTAGGAGAGGACACGCTGACCCCTGGAGAGAGCAGTGCACATCCCTGTTCAGCTCTGGCTTGGGGAGCAGCAGCCTGACTGGCTGGAACAGGAGCAGTGAATCACCTGCAGACAGCACCTTATCTACAAGACTGTGCATGTCAGCACAGCAGTCTTTTAAGTTACCTGTTGGTGCTTATCTGCACTGAATAGAAGGGCCAGGCATTAGATAAGGAGTGTCTGGAACAGACAGGGAAATGGGCCTGCCAACACCCAGCCTCCAACAGCTATCTGATCACACACAGCCAGCAGGTATCAGAGCAGTTCTGCTCCTGCAGCTTCTTCCCAGCTGCTGTAAGTGCTCTACACAGGGAGCAAAGCCCATGGGGGGCAAAGATTACTGACAGGTGACTGTCACTGAAGTGTACCTTTATCACACACTGAGGCCACAGCAAGAGAAACACCCTGTACATCTCCACAGTGCTGCCTCTGTCCATCCATACCAGAACATCAGGCTGCAGCTGGACATGCAGCTCCAGACATGTCCCACTTCACTTTGTGAAGTGCAACTCAGCTACAGCCCCCAGACCAAGCTGAGCTAATTAACAGGATGAGAGTCCCTCAGCACTGCTTCCATGGGACTCCTCAGCACATCTGCTCTGCTCTGGGGGCCCTCAGCTGCTGGGGCTCTGAAGCCACCAGACCCTCAGCTTTTCTGCTGCAAGCCCAGGGCAGCTGTGCCAGCTCTGCCTGGAGTAGGGACTGAGCTCATACCTTTGGCATTCTGGTCATGCCACCGACCAGGATGACTTCCCCAATGTCACTCTTGCTGACTTCAGCATCCTGCATGGCCTTCTGGCACGGTGCCACCGTCCTCTTGATGAGATCAGCCACGATGCCCTCAAACTGTGCCCGAGTCAGCTTCATGTTCAAGTGCTTTGGTCCGGAGGCGTCCATGGTCAGGTAGGGCAGGTTGATGTCAGTCTGCAGCACAGAAACAGGCTTGGAGTGAACACAGCAATGGAAAATAGGGCTGCTCCACAGTCAGATCAAGTTCCAGCTTCTGTTGGCCTGTACTGAAGCATCTGCATGGCTGCTCACCCTACAGCCCAGGCCTTAGGTGGCAGCAGGAACACTTTTATGTTTGTCTCTTCTCTCAGAGAAGAGACAGTTATTTTGTTCCACATCTCACGGTTACAACTGTTAAGCTCCCATTTTAATACTGTGTTATTGCAAGGTTTTGCATTGTTAAGAAAAACAAATTAATTAGTCATAGCCAAGAGGTAAGAGCTGAAACACTGGAAGTGACAACATTAATCCCGTTCCTTTAGCACAACTCAGGAAAAAGCCCATCTTCAGAGTTCCCAAAGATTCTGCCAACTAACATTCCATATCAGGTAAGCTCCTTGAAGAAAAGAACTCATGGCTGTTTTCTAAATGCCAACAACTCATGTTCGACAGCCAAAGTTAATTAGTGCAAGGGACCATAATCCCCACTTCCTATGGCTATTTCTGAATCTCTTACAAATTCACATGCTGGATTTATAAAGCAAATCTTATACTGAAATCATTCAAGTGCTGAGTCATGCTGACATCAAAAGACACTACAAATCAAAGCAATTAGAACATTAGTGCTTTAAGCTCTAGAGATTAAGTTTACACAACAAGAACTAAAGCCACGTTACTGACTAGAGGTGTGCAGTCACTTTACAAACAGCGTGGTAAAAAGCATGAGGGGAAAATGGGGCCAAAAGCAAGTTGTTTTCCCTTCACTGCTAAAGAGTTAAGGAATTCAGTTTTTCCTGCTATGAACAAACTGGATTTGCCAGCTCTTGAGCACATAAAACAGAGCCTGCTATGTCTCTGGCAGAACTAAGCATCCATTGTGACTGGCCTAAACTCCTTGCTATGAGCTCCCCACTGGCCAACAAAAAGACCACCATCAAATAAAATTAAAAATGTTTATTCAGAACCTAGAAATTGGCAGAGTCCCCATTTCAATTACTATATAATTGACCTTAATTTCACTTAGCCAGGACTATTACACTCCCAACTTGCTCCTTCTCCAGCTCCTCATTCAGTAGTGAATAAAGGACACGCTTGAATGCATTAATACACAAAGTGGATGGAAAAAGGAAAGGGGGTGTATGTTGCCCAATGTCTGGACAACTCTTCTATAGGCAAGTAAGTTGAGATTCTTTATAGAAATCACTACACAAATTAGCTGTTTCAATGGAATGAGTAGCATCAAGGTTTTCCAAGGCTTTCGAAGAGCTTGCACAAATAAGTGGTTCCAGTAACCCAGCAGCACTGGCTGCAGCTGAATTCCCTGCAGCACAGGGAAATTCTGAAACACAGAGTAAGCTGGGAACAAGGTCACATTCCCTATAGGATCAGAAAACACACTGCCAGAAAAAAAGGCAAAGTCCAGCACCATTCTCAGCTCCCAACAAGCAACTGTGCTCCAGAACAGCTCATCCTGGTACAGGACTTGCTGTGACAGTGACACTGTTTGGTTACACAGAAGAGCTTCTTGTTGTGCCACAAGAAAAATCAGCAATGTCAGAGCTTTGTACACAAAGCCAATGCAAAACTCACAGCATCTCACAACATTGTACCAGACTGCTCTGGACCCAGGCACGTACCTGCACAGATGATGAGAGCTCACACTTGGCTTTCTCTGATGCTTCTCTCACTCTCTGAAGGGCCATGTTGTCTTTAGTGAGGTCAACACCCGTCTGAGTGACAAACAACAGGGTAAGTGACAAACAACAGGTTAACAGACTCAGCTTCTGCTCAGGAGTCACCTCACCGCAGTTCACCTTCTCACCACTCTTGACTCTAAAGATATTTCTAGAATACAGCCTGCTATGTGCACTTCTGCTGCTCTCACTTCTGGCAGAGGTATTTAGCATTTCAAATGTGCCAGCCCTCTCTGCTCTGCAAGTGATTATA